GTTGAGACGACTACGTAATTGTTTTTTGCTTGTTAAAAAAATGTATAAAACAAAGCGATAGGCATCACTGCTGTTACCGTTTTGTTTATGTTACGTTTTGGTTTGAGGAAGTATCCGTTTTAAATGAACCCTTGAAATAATATTCGAAATCCAAACAAACGTCGGTTCTCGCACGAAATGCCGGCGTCGGCGTTTAAACATAAATAATTGTATGTAAGGTATCTTACCGACAAAGTGTATAAACCAAACATCTTGTAAAACTCCCTAATATATTCCATACATAGTATACACGATCTCCTTAATATTTAATACTTTACCGATAACATATTTTATAATATGTATATTCTATATTATGTTTGTCATGAATTTAATTTAAAAATAATTAAATATAACATTCATAAACTAAAAACAAAATAAAAAAATCCTCTCCCTACTGGAAGACATTTAACATGTTTTTTGGCGTTAAAGAAATCGCCACAACAAAATCCAACACAAATTATTGATAGACCTTCAGTCAAAAGACATGTTTATGGTAAAATTAAACGTCCCATGTATTTATATAATAAATACATTGTGTCACATTGTGACTGAAAGCCCTACAAATCGGTTTAAAAACAGTAAAGAAAAATAAACCAATTTTTAAGATTATTATTAAAATCCCTCTTCATTTTGTTTAAGCAAGAAATTTTAAATATACTCAGTTATGCTCCTCAAGTTATTTTAAGTTCATAACTATGGTGAAGACTGAGTTGAAAACGGAGACAAGTGTATTTGTATTAAATAATAGAGACCTAGGTTAGGTAAAAATATACAAGTAGGTACTATGACAATTTTCATTTGTTCTCATTTGAGCGCATTACAAGGGTTTCGCCTTTTGGTTATTTTAGGGAGATGGGGGTGGGGGTGGGGTGGAATCCGTCGTAAGTCAACCGGAACGCCTAAGCCCATTGTGTCGTGAAATTAACTCGATTATGATGTATACGAGGTGGCTCTCACTTTTTTTATTTTGGCAACGGACGTGGCCCAAATTAATGTCATTCGACAGGATACATGCATTGTGGCCATATAATGTAAACTCTTGGTCTCGTTTGTTTTAAGCTGTTATTATTTCGAACGCTGTGTGTATAGCCAGGAAGTGGCCAACAACAGAGCCGGGTCTTTACGTCGGGTTACAAGTACACAATACATCCATGTTACAGTAATTTTATTTATGAAAAAGTAGACTTACCACAGAATGTAAAACAAAATTTCTATAATATGTAATCATAAAAATTGTTTATAATGTTCAAGTTGAAACAATTATTTCGAAGGGTAGTTTTAGTGGTAACCATTGCAAATCAAATTTCAATATACGTATTATTTGAATCGTATAATCAGAATGGTACAATGACACTTTTAAGGTTATTTAAGATATAGGCGTAGACAGAAAGTTTTTTATGTCCGTACGCACAAATCCTCGACACAAAAGTATTCATACAGTCGTCATTTTCATTAAATAATTTTTATTTTAATAGGCAAGACAGATAATGTTAAAAAAACATTTTTTATCTAAGTATAAAGTAATTAATAATATAAATTTTGATCATTTAATAACGATTTATAAGAATAGACGTAACCAATATCTCGTCGTATAATGTTCGTTGCTAGTCTGGAAGTAAAAAATGTTACGCAGCAATTACCTACATTGGAAACACATTGTAAGAAATTATTACTGGTGTATAATACTATAAAAAAAAAATCAGCATTCAGACGACCGGTATAAGATTCGAGGATTGGAAAAGTCGCCCGTCCGAATGATTTATGCGATGACAACTGTCATGGCCGTCGTCTTCTTGCCATTCGATTTTAATACGGTTATGGGTATAAGTGTTCACTAGCTATTTCGCTTTAACAAACTCGAATTAATTTTTTTTTTTTACTAGACACAACTCGTGTGACAATGGGCAGGGGTCTCTCCGATGGTTCATTGTGTCAGTCTACAGTCCTGTCATACTTTCACAAACCAAGTCAAAAAACGGTAAAACAAATATTTCCGATTGAACAAAACTACTAAATACCAAATTTACGGGGTAATAATAATTTACATAGTGTTGAAAAGTCCTAAGCCAAAGTGTTTTAAATACAGACGGGAGTCTGAGAGTTCAATTCCATGCCAAAAGTACCCCGTTGTATTTTTGCATTTCAGGTTTTCCTTAAATGTTATCCCCACTTATAGTTAGTACTCGCTAAAAAAAGGCTTCTGTGATTTTTTTAACAAAAATTATCTTAAATCGTTCCAATAATATACATTTTTTGAAACGTGGCTACTACTATTTTCAATTATGTAAGACTTCAAACAGAAAAATTAAGGAAAAGTATAAAACGTCGACAAAATGTTCGTTTTGTTGTATATTTTCGATTACATTTTTAAGAAAAAAACTTTAATTTTTGACAAAAATTATAAACAAACTGCATAGTAATTTGCACAATAAGTAAACTAATTAAAATAAATTAAAAAACAGACAGTGAATAACATGAATAGAGAATATCACAGTTGTGACACCTAATAAGATAAAAAAAACATGAGAATAAAATTAAATATTTTGTCTAGATACTTTGGATTGTATACTGTAACAAAATATGGGATAATAATAAATATGGGAGCTTCAAATTCAGGTTTCCAACAAAAAAAAAAAATATATATAAATAAAATTCAATTGTTTGAAGTTTTGTGGCTCCACTCCTAATTTATAAGTACAATGTACATGTATAAACTAATGATTAATTTAATTCAATTTTTCAAAGACATACTTCAAATCATATTTTGGCATACTTTAAGCTTAATCATAGCTAAAATATTTAATTTATTTTTAAGACTTAAAGTTTTTAAATTATATCATATTTTTTATTTTTATGTTGTAAATTTTATAAATTGTAATATTTTTTAATTGTTAATTTTACGTCAAAATACTTTTATGATTTGTAATGAGAAATAACTATGTATTTTAAATAAGAATGGTTAAAGAACTAGATAAAATGTGTATCAAACTGCCCTGAATTTCTCATACGATATTATTTTAAAATAATAGATTTAAAAAGACCTCATAAATAGGTAAATATTTAATTGTAATATAGTTTTAAAAAAATTGAGCAGTTGCTTCCAAATATGTTACTGTAATCATTTTAACAATTACCATTTTAGGTAGTTTTTGTGCTCAATCTGTGTACAGTGTACTCTTTATTGCATTAAAAATACTTACAATAGTTCCAAAATAAAAATCGTAGTTAACGGGTTTAATGGTAGATGACAACTTGGAAATTTTAAATTGCAAATTTATCTTGTGTACATGTAGACTCTAGGTTTGTCTGAAAGGCATTATATATTTAATAGACAACCATCAATTATTATTATAAAGAACTGATATTTAACCATACCTACAAACATCGATTGGAACCCGATTAGATACATACTACAATTGTGAATAGGTTTCAGTAACACAACCGGGTGACAACAACAATTTTGACAACATATTCTCATTAATTACGGTACACACAAAAAAATACTTATATAAAAGAGAAACTGCCTAAGGTAGTTTTACTAATAATTCTACACGTTAATCATTTACAAACACATAGTTAATAGAAATGTCATCCATTCTTGGAAAGACACAACACAATTTTTTTAAAACCACTGGTGTATCGAAGGTTAGGGTTTATAAGTGACGTGACTTGTACAATTAGATGGAGAAAATTGATTATTACGAGTATGAAAACAGCTGTGACCGTTCTGTAAGATCCAAACCTTGAGTTTATCACAAAAAGTTATAGTTGATTTAAATAGAAACCCTAAAAAAAAAGTTTTTTAACACTCCTAAAAACCATAAAAAATTACCCTTAATCTCTTTTACCTTGCATGCAGCATTATGATATATAAAAACTGTCGAGACTCTGACATTACAGAAAATTTAACTTAACTGTCAGTTGACACAAATTTATCTTAAAGCACATTTGTTATTATTTATTGGTGTAAATTTGGGCGTAGCTATGTGCCATAGCCTATGTAAGAAATGTGAAAAACAAAATTACTAAATTATATTTACACGTTGAAGAATATAACAGCTGCTCAGACAATAAATACCACACATAAATCAAAACTAATCCTAGGGCTTAACTTGAGTGTATCTTACTTATTACATAAGTACACTGATATATTAAAGCGACAATAACAAATAAAAAAGGAGTGATATATATGAATCAAAAATAATTTTAAATTATCATAACCAATCTCAACGACCAAATATTAAGAACAATTTTAAATCAGAATCCAATGCAATGCTTTAAGCAATACACCTTTGTTATATTTTTGTTCATTCAAATAACTTAGCACATTAATCTTGTAGTTATATCAAATAAGATCCTCTTTTTTATTGTTTCATGATCAATTACCTATTTACCGAATATTATTGATTATAAATACTATATTAATAAATAAAATCGGAACTCTCAACGTTGAATAAAATCAAATGATAGTGTAGCTTATTAAGCTATTAATGTGATCAATTATTTCACTTCGGTCCATACAGTTTACATCAATGATCAATGACTTAAACAACTTTTGTACTAATATGAAACGTATGATTTTGTTACGAATAACTAGTACTTTAATAAGGTATACAATCGAGATTCGTTTAAAGAATATCAAATTATACCAGACGGAACTTAGATCAAATTGTTAAAAATAAAACATTACCAATAACTTCATTGGATTACTTCCTTTATGCCTTTAATTCACAATCAAAATGGTTTGAATGTATTATAAAATATAAACTGGCTAATTTATAACTTTCCACAGTTAGTCATTTGATGTTTGTATGATAGTTATTTCAAATGCTTTATCGACCAACTACCCTAATGACAACATAATTTGGATAACTAAGATGTTTGTTCATTTACTTAAATTATTTGTAAGTGTATTTTGACATAACAAAATATGATCCTATTAGTATATGATAAAGACTCACCGATTTTGAAGGTGCCCAATCTTTGTTTTCTGAAACATCCTCAGCCATATCACCCTGAAAATAGAAGCATTATAGAGTTGTTTGTCGAAACTATTTGGCTTTAGAGTCGTACAAACTACTACACCTCGTAAGGTGTCACCGACGGGATGGTGTAACTAAAATGTTTGAATCGTCTCGTCTATAAAGAGTCATATTTTGAGAAAATGTAAAAAAAAAAAAATGGAACTTGATACCTTTTAGTGTTATACACAAATTGAGATACCGCCTTTTGGTTTTATCACTTTAGAATAATTTTTTGTGTCAATAAATCTATTCTTACTCGCACGAAACGATTCATTTGTTGGTGACGGTTTAGGCACATTTAGGTGTAACACCGTTACCTCAGATAAGATAAAACTGTGCTGTTGCATACAACAACTTCGTGGTCGTCATTTGTTACGGATGAAAACTCTTATGTTTTGGGACAAAATGATTTGCCCAATGGCCAAACAACCATCACTGCAACAACAGTTGATTTAGAGGTGCAACGCTTAGATCAACCGTTGACTATCTATATATTGTTATTATGGCGGTTGGACAGTAATTTTGTGTACTTGGGGTAGGTACCTGGTTAACGTGCCGTCGAACAAGTAGGACGTGAACGGATCATTTGAATCCTGGATCGGTCGTTGTAGATTCAAACACTAAACGATCTAAATAATTGATCTATCCGAAAGCCGCGAGACGTAGCACCGCTCCATCGTTTTGCACGCACAACAACTAGATAATGCTGGTAAAAAAAAAAACGATACCAATCGTTTTGATCGTCGCGAATAGTTTCGGGTCGGTTCGAAACGATAAAACGAGAGAGGCTTGATTCGTATTATTACAGTTTTTTAAAAACAAAAATTGTACGCCAATACTAACGATAAAAAAATATCGTTTTTTTTTTTGGCTCCTCGACAGCAGCTGAAGAGTGCATATACCTATCAACGACGACTGTGGTGTTATTAACGCGAAAAAAAAACACTACTTATATCGTGAATAAATAAACGAGAGAGCTGATATTGGTGCGTTTCCCAATCAGAAACCGACGTGTACAGTGTCACCGCGAACGGACGACCGAAATATCCCATGCCGCCGACGATAACCCATTGCCGCCTTCGACCGGACTTATCGATCAGCCGATGAGTCCCTTTTTGACTAATAATTATTATTATTATTTTTAACCCTTTTCAGACAAAGGCGATTCGCATTCTAACTTGTGATCGGGCGGAATGATTTTTATTATTATTGTAAAATAATATTAATAATTATAGCGGTGTTAATTTTGATATTTGATTGCGATATTGTTGTGGCCGACTTATAGATGGCGGTATTCTGGCGTATACATTTTTATCGTAACAGGAACATAATATAAGGAACGACAACGAACCGGTACAATGAGAAGTAGGTAAGTTAGTAACCTGGTACGTAAATTCACACATATTTTTTTTAGACCGGATAAAAAATTATAGTAACGAAAGGCTTCTCGATTTCAATAAACCATACCCTATTGATTTTAAAACTAAAAAAACAGCCATTTTACACAAAAACTGCGACCGAGATTCTCATAAAAAAAATTATTATTCTAGCCATAGGCAAAAAGTCTTGTTTATTCTCGTTTTAGATCTAGTTCATAAATATCTGTCTAAATTGCAACAATCTAAAGCAAATGAGAAAAATCTATATATTTTTTTAATATACCTAAACTATCAAGCGCGCCTAAAAAATACGTGAATGCAACCAAAAAATCTTGAATGTAAAATGAGTTGTGTTGTTATCATAATGTATTCCTCGTTCACAATAATAATAATTATTATTCAGCGAAACCCTATTTATGAATGTTAATATTAAAAAAAAAAACATTTATATTTTTTTTAATTTTAACTTACCAAAATAGAATCGATTAAAAGGTGCCAAACCTGTGTACCTATTGACAAGTAAAATATAGGACGTTTTTTGCAAAATCTAAAATTATTGCTTCGTTGGAAATCGACTGTGGACAAAAAGTAATTATTAAAACGATTAATAAGGGCTAAAAAGAATACAAAAACACTAATATTCTTCCATAAAAATATTTTTCTTGCATATTAAATATATAGTTTTAAATTAACTGCTAGGAAAGTCGAGGGTTGTTATTTCTGGTTAACTAAATGTTTATTGAATATGAATGATTTTTGATAGAGAACAGAAGATACTAAAAAAGCTCAGATTTTCAGTAAAAAGACATTTCTAATGTTATTTGTTTTTTAATTTCTCGTCTTGGTTAAATAAAAACAAAATTATAGATTTTTGCTATAATTTGTAAACTGTATACATCTAGTCTATAATTATTTTAATCGTGTATTTTGCATACGTCATTTATGTTTTTTAAATTGTAGATAATTACCATTATTCTATTTTATTAAAATAATAGGTATTCTATGAAAATAATTTTTGGATTATCACGACACAAGGTAATCATCAGCTGTTTGATAATTGGAGGGAAACCTTATCAATATTAGTCCATTCAACTATCAACGATTAAAAATATTATGTTACAAAAGCCATTTGCTTATACTTTATTGTTAGGCCTTTTTTATGTATACCTTTATAATAAATTATTAATTATCGATTTACTACTTATTTTCGGCTAATAACGAGCAGAATTAAAAGATCTATCCCAATGGGGTTTTATATATTTTGTAATTCAAATTAAAAAGACCTAGGTCGTCTTAGTTATAAATTTATAAAGTTTAAAAAAGTAAATATAGTATTTTTCTAATAAATAAAATTCAAAAAAACAATATAACTGTTTATAAACTTGTTAGGTAGTTTCATGTTTTAATAACAACTGAATTTATTACAGCGATGATTATATGATTATGTTATAATTACAATTTTTGTCTCAGGTTATTTTATTTTTGTTATAGTCATAATGTCGACGTTATCCGACGAGCAGCGTAAAATGATCGAAGAGAAAAAAAAAGCTGCACAAGCCAAACTGGCGGCAAAATTTGGTCAAAAGAGTTCCTTCCCTTCTCACAATATTACGCCACCAAAGGTTTTGAATCCCATATCTCGGTCGCCACAACAAAATAGATTCAATCGCTACACGCCGCTAACTGTTGGAGTTGTTGTATCGCCGTCGCCAAGTGCCAAAGCTGTTCGTATCAACTACAGTCTCAACAATGAAAAATCCAAACCTACTTCATCTAAACCTGTTAAAGGTTCCTGTGAACTTATTACTAAAGATCGTTTTGTCGTACACGTTGGTTATCATCAACAACTCATTGAAACATTCAAGACCATTCCTAGTAAATCGTTTGGTAAGAAATAAAATACTAAACTCATTATAGCTTCTTATCCAGAACAGCTAAGGGTGGTCAGAAATTATATTATGTAAAATGTGTTTTTAAATCATAGATCCAAAAACGTCTGAATGGTCGTTCTTAGTTAGAGACCACGATATGGTGATGAATAGTATCAAAAGTCTCGAACCAAATGTCAAAATAGAAAAGTTACCATACTTCATTTTAAAGGTATTATTATTTTCTATAAAAATATTTTTAAAAAATCCTTCATAAGAAATTGTACACAATATTTAAGTGATCCTTTTGTAACAATCTTTGATTTTTCCCATTATATATTTGAAGTTAAGTTGAGTCTCTATGACGTAAAGTTTAAAAGTGTGTAAAAAAGTACCTAAGACTCACATTGTTATGGAAATCAAACGTGGGCATTTTTTATTCAAACGTCAAACAAAAATAATTATGTTAGTTTATCTAATATTAATATCTCAACTTAGATGTGCAAAAATGATAATAAAAGCTCTGAAACCGATTTGTCTAAAATGGATTTAAGTCGTATTAACAAAGAAATGCTCGACAATCTATACCCATTTCAAAAATATGGAATTCAGTGAGTTGAATATATTTTTAGTCAATATAATAATTTGATGTAACCGTATTGTTTTTTATTTAGAACATTTTATTTTCAGATTTGGAGTGTCTAAAAACGGACGTTGTATCATTGCTGATGATATGGGATTAGGCAAAACCATACAGGCAATAGGTATCGCCATGTATTATACTTCTAACTTTCCTTTGCTCATTGTGTGTCCTTCGAGCATGAGGTAACAGTTAATATGTTTACTAAATTCTCAATTCATAATCATATTTCTGCAAACTATTTGTATTAATATCACACATTTTTATCATTAAGGTATACGTGGGAAGAAGAGATTCGTACAAGAATACCAAACATACCGGTAACCAGTATTTATGTGTTGTCCAAAGCATCAGAGTACGTTGTCGATCCAGCGGTGGTGATCACTTCCTACGATTTGATGACCAAAGCCAAAGATATGCTGTTAGATCTAAAATTCGGAATCGTCATACTAGTAAATAAACTTTTGTAATTGTAGATTTTTTAATTATTATAATATTTTTATTCGTAATAGGACGAAAGCCACAGCTTAAAAAATGAAAAGTCTGGCCGAACAAAAGCCTCGCTCGCTCTAGCCATGCAAGCCAGTCGATGTATACTTTTAAGTGGTACGCCTGCATTGTCTAGACCTATGGAACTTTACACGCAGATAAAAGCTGTAACACGTTCAGCATTCATGACTCCGTAAATAATATTTCATGTAAAAATATGCCATTCCCGAACTAATGAAATATTAGTTTTATAAAAATGTTTATGTTTATCCTCCTACAAAAAGTACTTGAAATTACATTTAAAGTATCAATTATGTATTATTTTTTTTAGCATCGAGTATGGTAAACGTTATTGTAACGGCCAAGAGGCAAAATACGGTTGGGATTTTAGCGGGGCGTCCAATATGAAAGAGTTAAAGGTTGTACTTGAGACGCAGTTCATGGTACGACGTTTAAAGACTGAAGTTTTAAAACAGTTACCGCAGAAAGTCAGGTAAAAAATCAAACCTAGGCAAAATATATAAAAATACAAATTGGATTTTTCTTCAAACAAATATTTAAATAATAATTTCAATTTCAACTCTAAATAGTTTTTTTATTAAAATAAAAGTGAAAACAATAATTCTAATGAAAGAAATAATTGAATTACAATTTATTTTTCAAAAAAAATTTTGGTATATTATATTACACATTTTACATACTATATAAATATTTTTTAATATTTAGAAATTTTAAAAATAATAAAATAGTTCAAATTATTTATTTTTTACAACAGTAAACAGTTAATGTAAAACAGTAAAAAATTGTATATAATGAGCTAAATAAAAGTAATTTTAAATAACTCATCTTTTTCATATTATTATTTGTTATTTAAATTAAAAAAAACCCAGATTTAGTAAAAATTAATTTTGTACCTGGCGTTTTTTAACCATTTGAAATATTTAAAGTCAAAATTTCTAAATAAAATTTGTGATATTTCCTTTAAAGAAATGTAGTGGTCCTTGAAGCGACCAACATCAAAGCCCGCACCGAAGATATGAACACTTTGGAGGGTATGCTAAACGATAAATCGTTAAGAAAAACGCAAGTGCGAGGTGCTCTGTTAGAATACTTTAATCACACTGGAGATGCAAAATTACCAGCCATATGGTAAGTCTCTAAACAAAATCGAACTAATCGTTTTCTTCTTCTCCCCTTAATCCAAACAAATGAGGTAGGCAAGCTTAATCTGCTCATTCCACAAACATCCATCGCCGTTTTTATACTCACTTCACAAATGTCCATGTGTTTATTGTGATGATAATTTGTTTGTAATTCATGTAAAATATATTGTTATCTAGTGCATACATTACTAAATTGCTGAAAGAAGATAAAAAGTTTATTGTATTTGCCCATCATCAAAAAGTCATGGACGGTATCAGTAAAGTTCTCGAAGATAATGCGACGTAGTATGTAAAATATCTAATAATATGTAACCATATTGTTTTTGCAATAAAAAGTACTATTTCGACTAAATCGCTGATTATATTTGTTAGTTATATTCGTATTGACGGTAAAACGTCATCGGAAGAACGAAAATCTGTGTGCGATCAATTTCAAAACGAAGACAAGTTCAGAGTGGCTGTTCTTTCAATATGTGCCGCAAATTCCGGCATAACTTTGACGGCTGCAAATCTTGTCGTGTTTGCAGAATTGTTTTGGAATCCCGGTGTAAGATTTTTTTTTGGTTGACGTTTAAGAAATAAATATTACTATGAAGTAAACTTATTTGATTTGATTTAGATTTTAACGCAAGCTGAAGACCGAGCGCATCGTATCGGTCAAGCTGAAACCGTGACTATACAGTACTTGTTGGCCAAAGGAACGGCAGACGATCATTTGTGGCCGTTGATCCAATCCAAATTAAACGTTCTCAACAAAGCCGGCCTTAGCAAAGACAATTTCAAAGACGACAGCACTACAGTAATTGTATGTTTTAGTATTTTTTTTTACCATCACAATTAAGACGTACGCGGCAAAAAGATTTCATATTTTATTTTACAGAATACAGCTGCCAGATCCGATCAGATGAGTATTCTCGATTTTTTCGATGACGATTCCGAATTAAATGTAGATGACTTAAAGGAACTGGACGCTATTGAAGAGTCCCAGTGTAAGAGGTTGAAGAGATGCTGAATGTGTTTTGCATTATTTTTTTTTTTTTTTTTGAAAAGTGAAATTTTTGTGTCACAAAAACTATAATTATATCATTTTTAACTAAAAAATTTTTCATTTATGGGTCGTTTCAATTATTAATTATAAAATACACAAGAAAGGAAAATCTATAAAATTACAAATAAAGCTTTTTAGCTTTGCTGTTTCTATTTGGGTCTATCAAACAATTATAAATATAAAATATAATGCATATTATTTAGCATACCTTAAAACTACACACTCGTATTATATTTTTGTAATGTATCTGATGTCATTGTTCATATTTTTTTATTTTTCGAGAACCTCCAAAAAAATTATATTTATTATTATAAAAACATTTATTGTGATTTCTTTTATTTTTTTATATTTTCATTTATGATTTATCTACATACAAATATATATTGTGTTTGCATCAACGAAAGAAAAATCTGCTTTTATTATATAATATTTTAAAATATATTCTTCATTTGTCAGATTGTTCAGAAGCCAAGGATGTAATGGAAACAAATAAACTAATACATTATATTACATTTTATTCAAGTTCAATAATAGACAAATATAAATCAAGTTAAATATACAACGCAAAACAAAGTTATAAAAATTATAATATAATAATAATAAAAAACAAAAATATTACAAATCAAAACACACATTTTCTAAACACAATTAGTTCGAAAACCGAATATAGTATATATAGGTAATAATATTTTTTTTTTAATTATAATAAATTAGTATTTTAAAATTATATTTACTATAAAGTTAAACATAATGTTTTTTAATGATACACAGACTACGACGTCGGGATGTGATTAATTTGAAATAGGATAATCTTGTGGGTAAGGTTTTCTTTTTCCTGAACCCAGATTTTACTGAAAAATAGCAGTCTTCTCTTTGAATGCGATTTTCCTCCGAGACTTTTCGTCCTCTAACCTTTTTTTCTCTTCCATCTCTTGTCTCAACTCGTACTCAAAACGATTCGCAAGACCTTGGTATTCAATCTGAAATTACAATCATCATTAAAATATGGTTGTATGTTAATAGTGTTCAAAAGCTCTTACTTTAGCTTCGAAGAACTCTTTGGCACCAATAACACCGACTTCGTCCACATTGATTTCGGTGAGTCTGGCCAATTCGCAAAGACCACAGTCTGCTGGTAAAGAACCATCATAAGCCTTGCGGTAAATAAGCAAAAACTAAAAAACAAATACAACTCATTAACAAAGCAAGGCATTATTTATATAATCTACTATCTAAATCAAAAGGTATAGAATAAATAATTATTTTATTTAATTGTTTTTTATTCGATATTAAATTGTTTGTTATTCGCTTATTTAAAACAATTTATTGTTCATCCAACAATTTTTTTTTTTTTATATTTATAATATTCTGTTAAAATGTCTAAATATTATAATAATAATATAGGATATTATTTATTAACTATCTAAAAATCAAGTATTTAAGATGAAAAATAATATTAAAGATTATTTTTTTTTACTTATAAGTTATAAATTATTTAAATTTTCTTGGTTAAAGTTGTAAAAAATGTAAATTTTGGTTGAAACATTTTTTAACCCAAGTTTAAAATAACCAGAGATAGTTTTTTTTATCTGTAAACAATAAATAAAGTATTTTTGTATTGAGTTTCATGCAATTTTACACAACTCTGCTTGTTTAAAATTTAATTGGGTCATTTAAAAAAAAATTGTACTTTTTTACAGTTTTTTATGAGAGTTAAATGAATTTGGACTAAATTAATTATCTTACTTCTCTGAAACTGATTTTGTCATCCCCGTCTTCATCGACTTCTTTGATCATAGTTTTCAACGCTAAATGTGTTTGTGGTACACCCAATTTCTCCATCATTCGCTTCAATTCTTCCAAGTCCAAGAATCCATCTTTGCCGATGTCAAATCTAAACAATAAATAGTATCATAAATAAATGTAATTAATAAACAATTTTTTTTAGTCATTATTTTTTTATTTTTCTCATATAGGAAGTGCTTAAAAAATATTATATTATTACTATAATAATTGCTTTCTACTATTATCAACTAAGTAGGTATAGCTATTAAAAAATAAATTATACTAAGATCTTCAGTCTTCTTTTGGATAATTTATCTCGTCAAACAAAAATTACATAAATTAATATCAAATTTATTAAGTGATTAAAATTAAAAGGTTTATTCAAAGCAAATTATAATAGAATATTTTTTTATGCACAATAAAAAACCCATTAAGCAATAGCCTATAAAAATGACCTGTTATGTTTTTCGGGAATATGTTTTCAAATTAACAAAATCGATTTTTTCCTATGCATTCTCTGTTAAACAAATTGTGCACATTTCTTGTTTATGTTTTAACTTCTATGTAGGGGCCAAGAAGCTATAGTTTTTACATTGTCCAGTAATTGTGTGAAGGTGTATTTAAAATAATATGCAGCTGCATAAACACATAAACCGTTTCTCGACTCGTAACAGTAAAAGTAGTAATCTATATGAGTGATTAAAAAATTAATTTTCTAATTTACAGTCGGCCACATTCCTTCAGGCTTGTATCGAATAATCGTGAATAGGTTATATATACCTTCTATACGTTTATGAAAAGTAGTTCTTAAAATGTTTTGTCAAAAATAATGTATAATATACACCTAATCATTTAAAATCATTTATACTGCATTTAGCAATGTAAATAATGTTTTTAAGGTGTCTTGTATATTAATCAATAATTATTAGAAATATAATTTATGGCCATAAATTTATGTGTTACAAGTTTTATAAGATACATAAATCATAAAAAAAGTTGTTATGTTATTTTACAATAGTCGTAAAATTAAAATAACATCTTAGCGAAATTATTTTAATGTTATAAGTATTATTGAGATATAAAAAAAAACTTGATGTAAATGAGTGACAACCAATAAATTATTTTTATTATTATTTTTACTGGTTTCTAATTATTTTAGGTACTAAAAAGAAAACTTCATAGATTATATTTTAAATCTAGACTCAAATCAAAGTAGGTAGTACCATTAGGTGCCCCCCTACTTCATGTTATATTTTTCACTTTTTACTGTTTACTCATTTAACTGCTGTGCATATTTGTGTAGATGTATATATGCAAATTTAATAAAGTAAGAAAAAAATCTAGTCTCACATTCAGCTCCAAAATAATAAATTGTTTTTTTTTCTCTTAATTTGGATTTTTTTTATTATTTCATATTTATTGAAAGTCAGTCGACGCAAAACTTATTATTGTGTCAAGACAACAATAAAGATTTGAATAAAAAGTATTTGTGTAGGGGTAATTATTGGCAGTACAATTTTTAAGAATAACAATAATAAAACAAATTTGTTTATATATTTTAATGTTTTGGCTTTGAAGGTTGGCATTAGCCAGGAAAAAAGAAAAAATTGAGACTATTCATTTTATTTTTTATTATTAATACCTATTTAACAAATATAATTTATTGAATTAGCTATTTTTGTATGTTTAATCACCGGCAAACAGTTGCGGTATAACCCCCCGGATAAATACTTCATACTTTTATTAAAATAAACTTATAACTACCAAACTGACTAAATAAAAAATCGGTATATTTTTTACCCGTCGGAATATATATAACGCATTAAATTAAAGAAAGTGCATTTTAAATAAAAAATATTTGTCAAAAATATGATCATTTTAAAAAAAGACGTCTACTTTGGACGCGTTTAAATGTCATCTTATTAATGTATGTTTGACCACGAAATTAATAAATTAGTTTTTAACCGAATGTTTATCACTTATCACCATAACGGTTAGGTGAAAAATACTAATTAAAACCATAATATTATGAATATATTTTCCAACTCTCTTGTTAGTTAAGTCACGTAAGGAGTTTTAAACATTCAACAAGTGTAAACATTATTAGTAATCAGAAAAGGATACAAATTTAATGATTAGGATGTTTCCGCACGAGTAGAAAATCTTAAATTGGTAATCAAGTTAACGTTAAATAAAAGGGAAATTCAGTAAAATATTTTCCTCGGGCAGTTAAAATTAATTCAATTTAACTTTAGACAATACAATTTAAAAGACACGTCGATAACGATTAATGACTCATATATATTGTGAGTCATGGTGCAAAGTATAAACATTTGATTTAATTTTTTTTTTACACACTCGACACCATGTGATATAATACTAATAATAACAAACATTTAACAAGGCGAGTTTAGTTTGTGTTATGCCTTCGTGATTTATTTCTAGATATAACAATCTTAAAAGGTTTTTAAACATTTTTATGACAAGTATTTCATAATGTAGATATCACTTAATCACATACACTCATAATATAATGTCATTGAACCAAAATGCATTATACTAAGTTTGATTTTCAAACGTCATTCCTAAAATTTAACACAATCTCTAATACTATACATCAATTAATTATGAGTATGTATAAGTATTTAAAATTGATCTAACATTTCTAAGTCTGAAGAATTGACATTTAAATTTATTATAATCGCTATCTATACAACTTAAAGAGTAGGTATGTTTTTTATATAATCCTTACCTACAACATGACATTGACAAACACGGTCACTGCCATTGGTTATAGTTGAATCATATCATAATTGATGAAAAAATGTTAGTTTATAATACATTTTATACTTATAAAATATTTTAGCGTACTCATTCGCAGTTTTTGTGCCTACAATTCGTGTTATGAATTATTATGATTAATGTCTATTAAGTGTGGACTCTGTTCTTTTAACTCAAAATTATTTTCAAATAAAGTAAGTTAGAAATTATAGACCAGAATACACAGAGTACACCCATAAAAATATGGCAAGACAAGAAAATCGTTTTTACTTGGATTGAAATCGTGATAGAAATTCCATTTTTTTTTTTAATTATTGTAATTATTGAAGAATATTCAAAAATCGTTTTCACAACAGAGGTACCTCTCTGTTACGCGATAAAACTAATCAGTGCCTTTATAATAATACATTATTAAGACACAGTGTGTGCCATACGCTAAATAATGAGTTATAATTATTTTTTAAATTGTATAAGCGTGTGCAAGACACGATTTTGAACGTTACATTTGAATTTCCACCTATTGTCTTTATAAAAATAAAAAAAACGATTATACCAAATCCTTTCCTTTCCCTTTCACTGACAATTACCCGTCACCGCAACTGGAGTCCGTCGGTCGATGGTGTTTCCTTTTTAAAGTTTAAACGAGTTTTGTTTAATACACACACACACAATTGTTGTTCCTGTTGCGAACGAGGAAGTGCGTTGAATTAATATTTTTTTAAAAAGGTAATACGACTTGTTGCTGCACTTTTGCAATACGACGTAGGACAGAAACGCTATATTATTTTATACGGATAAAACAAAACACACAAAGAGTTTATGAACAATAAATTTCGAACAAAGAAGCCAGCGCGGGATTATTTTGTAAAATAAATAGTGATCGCAGCAAGTGGATTTTGAAAAATATTGGCGATTTTATAAAAAAAAAATAATAAACTCATTGGTAATAGAGTAATATAATTTTTGGATTTTATTCGTGCCCGTTGATTTTTAAATAATAATAACTAATGTATTTATTTTATTCGCATTATTTTTTAGCTGAGAATATTCCACTGACAATAGTTTTTAGTAGATTAGTTGTAATGTTGTAAAAAGTAAGTAAGTATTAACAATGCACAATATTATACTATTTTAAAAGAAACATTGTGCAGGGAATCCTATTTTTGGTCTAAAAAAATAGACTACAGATTTTTAAAAAAGAACTGCATGTTACAGAGCCACGTTAAATCTACTTTTAGTCCAAACTTTTAGCTTAAAAAAAAAACCAAAAATCTTCTGCACCTTCTGGGGGTACTATTAATTGTGTCTAATAAATATTCCACAAAAAATTTAGAACAAATTGGATTGTTTTTCAAATAATTTAAAGCATGGCGCGATTTAAAATATGTTTAAAAAATGTTTATATTTTTACAGAATGCTTTTTGACGATTTTGAAGATAAATTTTTTTCAACAATTAATTTTAATAAAAATAAAAACACATTATTGTAAAACACATCAGCACTGCATCGAGGCTGTAACGTGTAATCGTTGAATTATATCCCAAAAATTATGCGTTTTAATTATTAAAATATTATTAGAATATTATACTAACCAGGAAAGACGTAAGTCGACTAATGCAAATGGCACACGACAATAATACTAATAACGCTGTTTAATATGACTAATAGTATTCCGGTCTCTGTCCTGGGTTTGAAATAAATTATTATCAGTGGGTATAATTCGAGGTTATCTTAACAGGTGCAGAAAGAACAAGCTGGTAACAATAAGATAAATATTGTTATTAAGCCAGGTGCAAACTTCTAATTAGCTTGTAAAACGCAGCACATGAGGATTTATAATATTAATCAGGAAAATTTTTGTCTTATAAATCTTCCCCTGAATTTATCAAAACATCATATTTTTAAAAAGTGTGCAGCACAACGTCTGACAAGATAAATTTCACATGTTTAGTTTGAAAAAAATTGCAACCAAATAACTTCTTTGGCTATCTTAACCCAATAACGTATATTATTATACTCGGCAGGACTAAATAAACGCAGGCCTTTATGTTTAGCTTTGGTCGTTTGCACCACACATTTTATATGACATGGCCAGATTTTGAGGAAGTCAACTATATTCTGGAACGATTCCAAAAACTCGTATTTAAACACTATAAACATGACGACCGCCGAATATGGTGTTGTTATTTTTATTTTAACGACCGCTATACGGTCTACTTTATAAAATATAAATGATCTAAAAAAAAGGCAATTTTTTTTTAATTGAAAATATTACTGCAAACTATGTGTACACTTCTGGAAGAATGATAAAAAATCATCGAGTTCATG